GATAGCAAATATTTTTACAAATAAAAATATTTATTAGAATAACTGGATACAGAAAACGAACATTTTGAATGATAAAAGAGGATTCAGAATGAGCCAAAGGCAATGAAAAAGAAACAAATAAAAATAACGCAATTGTTTAATTGTGTTATCTTTATTTGTTTCTTTTTCATTGTCTTTGGTTCATTCTGAATCCTCTTTTATCATTAAAAATGCCTCTAAAAATGGTTTATAAACTTTTTAGCTGTGAATCATTTTTAAAAGCACTTTATCAATAAAATAGGATTCAGAATGTAGGCCTTTATCTGAAATTGATTTATGACTTTGACTTTGAACTTTATCAGGTCTTGACAAAATTTTTGAAATTTTATTCTTTTATTCTTAAAATGTATATTAAAATGTATATTCCTAAAATGTATTTACGTAACGTATATACTGATAAAATATAAAAATCTATGAATGTTTTATTCTTAAAATGTATATGTGTATTTATGTAATGTATATACTGATAAAATATAAAAATCTATGAATATATTCAGTAAAAACAAACAAGTCTAAAAAGCGCATAAAAAAACAAATTTTCATTAATGTGTGTATCAGCCTTAAATGTTTATTCATTCGTGATTGAGTCATGGCTTCGTCCGTTCTTTACAATTTATAGCTGCTATTGTAAACAAATTTACCAATGATATATCCGTTATATATTTAAATGTCGAAAATGAAGAAACACGGCTTAATATACGCAAGCAAAACTGAAGATAAATCTATATTGTAGAATATTTTATCTTTGTACGACACGAATGGAGACTGTTCGCATTTTAAGGTTAAGTTAAATTTGCTGTTGAATCTTAAGTTAAATCCTGCTGAAAATAGAAAAATAAAAAGGAACATCGATCGCTTTCAAGATGACATTACCTGGCATTGGGGTATTTGGCACAGGCAGTATTGTTAGAATTATTATACCTTTCCTGAGAGAGAAGGGTTTCAGGATCGAAGCTATATGGGGTCGTACGTTGGCAGAGGTTTCAGAGGTGGCGAAAGATCTTCAGATACCTTTTCACACCAGTCGCATAGATGATGTTCTTCTAAGGAAAGACGTAGACCTGATCTTCATAATGTGCTCACCAAGTCTGCATTCACAAATTGCTGTTAAAGCTCTAGGGATAGGGAAGCATGTCGTATGTGACAAACCTGCGGGCTTGAGTCAAAGTGAAGCTTTGAAGATGGTGCGGGCTGCACAGTATTATCCTTCGCTGATTAGCATAGTTAATCATAGCCTAAGGTTTTTGCCAGCCTTTGTACACATGAAAAAAGCATTAGAAGATGGATATCTGGGAGGTTCTGTGACAATCATAGAAGTACGAGTACATATGGGAAGTTTGTTACACAATGGTAAATACAAACAAATTTTTGATATATTTAAAAGAATATATAATTTTGAGATTGTATAAAATCTTTGTAGAATCTTGAAATTATATAAAAGATTTTTAAATCAAGAGATTTTTAATTCAAACAAAAATTAAAGGTAAAACATCCTAAATTCACTTACAAAATTCTGTAAAAATGATTGATTTATTAAAATCTTTTTTCAGGATATGATTGGCTATGTGATGACACAATGGGTGGTGGAATCTTGGCATTGGTGGGCAGTCATGTCATAGATTTGATTTTTCATTTAATGGGTCAACGAGCATCAAGGGTGCATGCTGTTGTGAGAACGTTTACTGAAACAACAAAATATATTAATGGGATTAGACATGTTACATCGCCAGATTTCTGTAGCTTTCAAATGGAGTTGAGCGGTGGTACCTTGGTAACAGCTACTCTAAGCAATCATCTGCAGGGGCAACTCTCCCAAGAAGTGCTAATATGTGGCGGTGGAAATCATTTGATCGTGCGAGGTGGAGACCTCTATGGATGTCGCGGTGAACAAGAAGAAATTCTATATCGCGATATGGACGACTTGCAAGGAATATCATTACCAGTTGTGGACTCTATACCTAGGCCGTACATCAAAGGACTTAGAAAAATGATTGCAGCATTGAGGGAAGCCTTTCAATCTGTGGAAGATAAAAGAGGCTGGATTAAGGAGCCAGTATTTTCTGCTTCTACATTCGAAGACGGTCTGTACGTGCAAGCGGTCATTGATGCGCTACGACAAAGTAACAAACAGCGTGGATGGGCTAAAGTTAACATCTTGACAGAAGAACCGGATCCGAATCCCTTGCTGAGTGCCGCTGTTAGAGCTACAGCCATCTCGATTTAAAAGTCTGCTTTACAAAGCTTTTTATTTATGTGAAAAAATTCACTGGTACTGCTTTACATTCGATATACCTAGAAATTGATAGATTATGAGACTACATATAGATTATATATGTATAGAAATATACATCAATACATTAATTATAATGTGAAGTAATACTTAACCGTTTCGTCAATTTCTATTTTTCCATTTAATTAATTTATTATTATGTAAGTTAACTCATTTTCATTTAGGAAAAATATTAATATATAATTTAAATATCACTATTGTATATTATACATGTATACTTATGTATGAAAATATTTATATTTATAAATACTGGTTGTGCTAGAAGCGTAAAAATTTCGTAATTATTCCTATTTTTTTTTTTTCAAAAAATATCTGTTTAAAAACTGAACATAATTCCCTGAACGATTTGAAAATTATCTAATTTTTTTATTTACATTGATTCTTCTCTCTTTCTCTCTCTTTCTCTCTCTTTTATTCTTTTAAAAAGGTGTAGTAATATGAGAACTAGATAATATATTTAGGGTATATATTTTATTTTAAAATTATTAATATGTATATAAAATTTAATAACATTCTGAGATGATGTACCTTGCATACCTTCTAACTATTTTATTAATCTATGATTGTAATGCGCGATAGCCGCCCTTTTTGAGCATTTACCCGCGTAACCGACGTGAGTTCAAAGATGGCAGATGATAATGTTGACGAAGCTATGGAAATCGAAGTTTTACCCTCCACGAGCAATAGTGATATGAAAATCAAGGAAAGGGACGGAAAATCTGTAAATTTACCATGGTATATTTTATTTTTTGCGACAAAAAGTTCCACTTCTAAGAATTATTTTTATTATTTTATTTTGTTTAGGTTATCCTTTCATTCTTGATTATAGGGATTTTGCAGCTCTGAAACAAAGTGATATATTTAAGCATAAGAAACAATCATTTATTTCATAAAAAATATAATTATAGAATACTCTTCAAATTATTTTAAATTGACATTTGATTTATATATATATATATATATATATATATGGAGAATAAAAACAATAATATTGCCATATTGTAAATGGCAGTAATATTATTTATTATAATGAGAATTGCCTAGAATGTTATAAATTATTTATTAAGAATTTAGAAGAAAGAATTAGAATTCATCAATAATATATTGAAAATTTAGGAAGAAATGTTATTAATTATTGTTGTCTAGGATTGAAAAATATCGACCTCAAGTGTTTTCCGATATTGTTGGCAATGAAGATACTATAACCAGATTATCAGTCTTTGCTCAACATGGAAATGTTCCAAATATCATCATTTCTGGTCCACCTGGAGTAGGTAAAACTACTACAATTTTATGTTTGGCTCGTACTCTATTAGGACCAGCATTTAAGGAAGCTGTACTTGAACTGAATGCTTCGAATGAAAGAGGAATAGATGTGGTTAGAAATAAAATCAAAATGTTTGCACAAAAAAAGGTATAGTATGGAATAATGAGTTCTCTTTATTAATTAATTTTATATTTTCATATAATTATTTTAATTTGCAGGTGAATCTTTCAAAAGGAAAGCATAAAATCATTATTTTAGATGAAGCAGACAGCATGACTGATGGTGCGCAACAGGCATTACGTCGAACAATGGAAATTTATAGTAACACAACTAGATTTGCTCTTGCATGCAATAATTCAGAGGAAATTATTGAGCCTATACAATCACGATGTGCTATGTTAAGATATGGAAAATTAACGGATGCTGAAGTTTTAGCTAAAATCCTCGAAGTCTGCAAAAAAGAAAATGTAATTAAAACATTTACAGATAGAAGCTTTAATTTAATTAAGAAAATTATTTACACTCCACTGTTGATAGATTTCTTATACAGATGATGGTATGGAAGCGATTGTGTTCACAGCTCAAGGAGATATGAGACAAGCTTTAAATAATCTGCAGTCTACGCATAATGGATTTAATCATGTAAATGCAGAAAATGTATTTAAAGTCTGTGACGAACCTCACCCTTTAATTGTCAAAGATATGTTGGATAATTGTATAAAAGGAGATGTTACCAAAGCATGCACGGTAAAACACATTTTTAAAAAGATATTAATATATTTGTACATATCCAGATATATATCATATTAAATTTATGAATTGTATTTGCTAGGTTATGGATCATTTCTGGAAAATGGGATATTCTGCAGAAGATATAATCGGCAATGTATTCAAAGTTTGTAAAAATCATGTTATGGATGAGAAACTAAAACTGAAATTTGTTAAGGTAAATTATAGATTATTATATCAATAATACAATATTATATTTCCATTATTTTGTTTTTATATACAGCTTTAAACATTTAATAAATTTATAGGAAATTGCATTGACACATATGGGAATAGTAGAAGGTATTAGTAGTTTGTTACAGTTACATGCCCTAGTAGCAAAGCTTTGTCGCATTTGCATATCGAAGTAATTGTAAAAAAAATGATTATACCTTATTATCCTTTAATAAATATGTTTATACATTTTCATTATATATATTTTTAATGTCTCATAATTTTGTCAGGTTTGGAAATATCTCGACAAATTATTTTTCTGAATCTTTATTTTTTTGTAATACACGCACGACATTCGTAGAATATATTGTACTTGGAATTCTCTTAGTTCATTCTATTTCAAAGTAGAGTCACAATAACTTTGTACATTTATACATTAATATAACACATTTGCTTATGGTTCCTATTTGGACCGATCGCAAATATTCTTTTAATAATAAAAAAAATTTATACATTTTATTGATAATCTTATGAATTGCAGTGTAGAATTGCAGTGTAATGAGTTTATCATTTTTACATGTATAGTTTGCATTAGTAAATATTACGCATTTTATTTAGAAGCTCAGCTCATTAAATTATGTAGAGTACTTGACGTTTCTAATGCTCATGAAGCATTATTCGTTCTTATTTGATATTCGGGGAACAACAAAAATTAAATATTAATTTCTATTAAAAGCTGGAAATCAAAGCTGAAAATTAAAAGACATAATATTCTCTTAGAAAGCATATATAAATATAATTGTTTTCATCAATAACTTTGTTAGGAGTGAAGACGAGTATGCATTTCAAAATACATGATAGAGATTTTAAGCAAGTACTTTTTAAACTTAGGCAGTGCATCTGTCATCAAATTTATCCAAAGTTGAATATCTGTAATAATATATACGACTTATCAGTCTTGTTTTTTTTTATTCTCTCAAAGAGATAATACTTCATTTTAGGAAATGAATATAAGATTTCATGAGAATATTAACTAAAGAAGAAGAATATTAACTAAAATAACCTTTGTTATTGATTCTATTCTCATGACATGATATGTACTCTTAATATATAACATACTATAATTATTATACCATATATATGTATCTTATTATATACTCATAAAACTAATCTTAATTATAGACAATCAATATGAAATGTGCTAGTCATTAAATTTGATAAAGCATACATAGATTAAACTTTATTTCGACGCGTTAGCAATTTGCATTGTAATCAATTCCAAACGCGTCTCGAGGATTCATTAAATAGGACCTTCGTACATCCTTTTCATTCTTATCATTAATAATATCGACATTGCGCCATTTTTTTCTCGTAATTTTTGCCGTAACGTCAAGGTAATAAAGTAGCGACATTTGATAATATGCGATGCTGCGCTTTCAAAATTTCCAACAATTTCGGGAATCGCTTTCGCTTATCCAGCTTTCCTCCTCCTATCTTTCCATTCTCTCGTCCGAGAAACGTCCGTAAATTCGCAACGTTCAGCACCATTTCTCCATTGGCACGGACGTCAAGTGCGCTCTCGGCTTCGGAGAGGGCCATCGCAGGGCGCTCTGACACGACTCTGCCCTGGAGGGTGTCCTCGGGGGTGGTTGCGGCGGACTAGCGTGAGACTCCTGGGAATTCGCATTCATGTTCCCATTCGCCTCGGGCCGCGATGAGATTTTCTCCGCGGGTGGATCGCCGCGGTGATTCCTCTTCGTCGGCTTTCGCGTCACGTCATGCTGCGGCGCGGCCGGCGGCGCGCTCTCCACGGATTGAAGACTCGCCGCGCGATGTAAGGAGAGCCGCAGCGGTTTCTTCGGCGGTGCCGGACGAGTTTTGGCTTCCTGAAAACTGTACGCTGCCGATATTTCTGAATTCTCCGATGCACGTGACTGGGAATCCTAAAATATGAAAGTTATATACAAATACTGCAAGAGACATATAGTTTGATGAGGTATATGTAGTATACTTCATTATGAAGTATATAGAAAAATTATTTTCAACAAAGGTGTATGCAAAATTGAGAAAATTTTGTGATAAAATCAATCGTCATGAAGCTTGACATAGATATAATATGAGATAAAATATGAAGCAAAATCTAACAAAAATCGAATGGTTCTGATCAAAAGCTAAAAGATGGATTCGGTGGGTCGTGTGACGGCAGTGTCCATTTGTCACTCATATAATCTCAGTTTGGTAATAGAATAACATTGTTCGTAAATGGCTCTTCACAAATACTGCAGCTTTGCCGGCTACATGATAAATGAAGAGCTATGATTTCATACAATTTGGTAAAATAAACGATTAATAATTAGCAACATTTTATCCATTTTTTCTTTGGCCATATTGATATTCATTTCTTCATAATCTTCACGAGAGTGAAGAAAATATGTAGACACTGAGTGGAAACTAAAAACTTCGAAATGATCAATTTGTGAGCTATGAAAAGAATTTTTTGGTGCAATAGAAGATAACGGAAAACAGTATGATGAATTGATGGTGATAACTGAAGATTACCGCTCGCACACATTCAACCTGCCAATTGCCAATATTTGTTTAATGGACCATTCATGAACAACATTATCCTATTGCCAAAATGAGATTGTTGAGTAGCACTGCCGTCACACGATCCATCGGGCCCATTTTCTGGTTTTGACCAAGATCCATTCATTTAACCATTCAATTTTGATTAGATTTCTTCATATTTTACCTTATACCATATCCATGTCAAGTTTCATGACGATTGGTTTTGTACTACAAAATTTTTCCAATTTTGCATACTCCTTTTGCAAAAGAAAAATTCTCTAAAGGGCAAGTATTATTTTCCTTGACTCTTCCTGTACGTAGATAATATGTACAGAATAAGAATAACTAATGATAGTAATTGATTCAAGATACACCTAATTATTTTGAATACATGATGAAGATTTGAAATTATTTTGAATAATAATCAAGACAAAATTTTTTTAAACATATTAAATACCTGTAAACGATAATAAGTCGGCTCAGAGTCGAATTCCAGGGATTGCAGCTGCGAGCCGCTCTTGCGACTTTTGTGCAAGTGCTCCATAGCGGATTCGACGCGTGGTGATCTGCGACGTTGCATCTGCGACTGCATCGGTGACTGTTTGCAGTCGAGACTAGCCGTTGACCTGGCCAGCTGGAGACCCTGGTGCTTCTGTCGGTTCCGAGATTTGTGGTGGCCATTCGCAACTCCATCGGATGAGAAATCGAGCTCGCGTTGGCTCCTTGAGTCCGTTAAGCGCCTGGAATGATCGCTGTGTCTACTTCGAACGATCGGCAAACTTTGTCGCAATTCCGTGCAACTTTTCACGTTGAGACCAGGTAGATTCGCCGTTACGAGCGCCGTTACTTGAGGCCCTTTTTGGAAAACCTATAATATAAAATTAAATTTTTAAATCAAAACGTTATCGGCTGTATCAATTTCGATTAATTCTTAACAATCTAATTAAAATATATTTAATTATACTAACAGATATCATATTTTCTAATTATATTCTTTGCTGCCTTACAACAAAAATCCTGAAACCCAAAATTTTAAACTTTAGAATGAATACAAAAACTAAAATAAATGTTAATATAAAATTGAATCTTTTCCATCAGACGAATCAAGGAATGAAGTATTTATATTTATTCAGTACATCGACTAAGATGCAATTGTTAGTTTCTCCCTTCGGAGATATTAATTTTAAAAATACTAAATTAAGAATAAGAATATAAATTAAAAATTAGAATTTTGATATTAATTTAAATATAATTAGGGTTCATCAATGTTCATTTGACGAATCTTTATTCGTCGAATGTTTCTGCTGAAGAAACGCAGAGTTATCTCGTTTATCTCGTTTCAGGATATGCCAACGCTTGCCTGTACATGTCCCTGACGACTCGGCGGCGGGTCTTCAGTGGGAACCTCGGTCCTGCTTGGCGCCAGGAGATCTCTGACCTGTTCCTCAAGATAACCGATCCTGTGTGTCAGTCTGAGATTATCGGAGCGCAAAGTGCGCAACGCAGCGAGAGATTCGCCCTTTCGAAGGACCACTATTTGCGCGGCGTCGGGAGCGACAGCCAAAAGTCGCGCTAGATCGCTTCTACCCGCTCCTACCACCAGTTTTCCATTTACCTCCAAAATCCTGGGAAAAATATTGACCAATAAATCGTACGTAATTACATCGCATTCTATTCTAAAGCTTGGCCAACTTCAATGATCTATAACAATCTGAATTCAGGATTCTATTGATATTTTCATGCATTGCATAACAAGGCATTTGACAAATAAATGAAAAAAAAAAATATATAAAATATGTATTAAACTATACAGATATATCGAAATGCACGATTTATAATTTTATCCTAAATTCTCTCCTGGGAGTTATATAGATCATTTAAGATAAATTTCAGATATTGCTGAACAAGCATTTCTCGGTGAAGTTATAAAAATGCTATTTTAACAGAAAATAATCATGAAGAAGTAATAATTTATGAATTCTGTTTCTCCCAATTTAACAATTTAATTATACTAAAAGCTGATTATTTCCTCATTTTTCTGCCTCTTTCGATTCAAATAATTTTATATCGTTAGAATTATTTTAGCAACATTGATAGAAGATAATAAAAAATCTTTTAATTTGATATATTATTCTTCAAGATGACACAATATCAATTATTTATGCTAATCGAAACAGCTCAAGCTGACAATTGTTATATGATATTTAATTACAAACTTACATTCCACGTGATCAAATTATAAAGCGAAATTATGCACGGAACTGGGCTTAATGACGCGTATCGAATAGCAGTGTGTGGGAAAAAGACTATGCCCGCAGAGCAAAGTGCGCGATGCACGTTGTCTTCAGTTATTTCGTGAGAGGCAACGCGACGGGTTTGAACCAAAAATCCGAGTAATTTTAATAAGCAAAACATATCTTATTCTATATTCAAAATCTTCACTTTACATTTTGACATAATTTAATTCTCCTCCTTCTTTCATTTAATTATTAGAACACTTAATATCGAAAACTAATAAAGAGAAGAATGTTTCAAAAAAGAGGATCGTATTTTTACTAAAAAAAAATAGATTCTACATATTAATTAGAAATACACTTTAAGAATTTGCCTGAAGTAATATTTTAATTTATATTCAGTATTTTAATAATTATTAATAATTACAAAGTATTTTAATTTATCCAAGTATTTTAATATTCTGTATTTATAGATTTAACGAATGTTTAAAATTCGAATGATAATCATTGTGTTCTTTTGTACATTCCACCATATTTATCTCCGAGCATTATGCGATTCAAAGGTGCGGTCGAGGACGTCGTATGTGCGTCCGCTCGAAAATTAATGGGCTCTTCAAATCTAACGTCCAACAGTTCACAGCGCGCACTAATTTTAACAAGTGATTTTTGAGCGACCGTCGCGTCGCGAGCAACTCCGGAACGTCGTACAGTGAATTCCCTTGAGTGGTTGTACTGGTGGAAAATGGTAGGTGGGGTCATGTGAAGTCGCGGGTGCAATTAACGGGGGCACACGGCGAACTTCCGGTGCCGCTTCACGCTACAGCGACCCGTTGGGAACCGAATGTCAAGATTGCCGCATTGTTCTTCCCCGATAGCCGCGTTACGTAGTATTACTACCTACTACACCATCGCGCACAAACACTATGATTCCCCGACACCCTTCTTTTACCCGTTCCGTAACTAACAGGGCTGTACGCGAATTAATAGAGAGAGTTCTTTGAATTCCGACTCTTTCCACTGCGATTCTCCTCGAGCCTCTCGATTGAATTCGAGAGGTGATTTCTATGGGGAATACCGGCGTGGCGAGGGCACAAATTGTTTTCCGTTCACTTCGCAAATGTAATTCGGGACATGCGAGGATGGTTACATGCAGCTGAACAGCTTCATGAATCATCGGGAAACGACGTATCGTTCCGAAGCGTGAGCCGCGAGAGCGGCGTAATCGTTACGTCGACAGAAACAGGACTTTTTCCGCTCCTGTTAGACAATGATTAAAGAGCGCGCGAAATGGAACGGTTACCCCCGGCTCTCGCAGTTACGTGCGCTGCCGACTCCTTTCACAGAAATGCGGAGGAGCGTTGTCTCGTCCGCGTTGTTGTAACATCTCCGAGGAGGAGAGCAGTAAAACAAAACCGTCGACGCTCGATTTACAGTTCCGTACTCGGAAAGTTCCACGCCGTCAATATGTTTGGTCTTTATAAGTTTCAAATTTCGGAATGCCAATACGTTTCCCAGAATGATATATTACCAAAATTCGTAGAAATAATTTTCTAGAAAAAAAAAAATTATACCTGACATTTTAAATATAAAATAAAATTTCTTAAATATTAAAATTATTTCTTTTTTTTTAAATCTCTATAACTAGAATTTAATAAATTCTATCTAGAAAGGAACTTATAAAGGGAAGAATTAAAAATCTCGATTAAAAATCTGAGATTACTTATTAACTTATTTTAATGTTTAAAACAAAATATAAATTTAATCTGCAAATAAGATTACCTTTATATTTATCAAAGAATATACCGCTGAAGTTTGACCTCATTTTTGCGAGATTCATCATATATATTGTGTTTGATGCGATGATAAGACAAACGAAGAAATATGAAATGGACATCGTTACGTGAGGCGAATCAAGGAAATTCGCGGATTTCATGTCGGAACCGACGCATCCGTTTGTCTGTCGACAGGGCGCAGCTGCGCGATTTATACTCGATGACTCGCGAATTCCGTGCGGTGCACGACAATACGAACCTGTCTCCTTTACAAAGACCGGAATCCTCCACGGCCCAGTCAACGTAGAGACCGATCGCATCGTCCCTGGGTCCTGCTCCAAAACGAGGACTTTTCGGATCCGCGCTGACTTCTACCGCGTGGATCGTGACTTGCGTCGAGCCGGAAATGCAGCTGCAAGCAGGACGATGAACTTAGCCTCGACGAAAAGTACAACAAACAGCGGTCAATATAATTTTCCCTTCCAAAAAAAATCCATAAGCTGTATTTACAAATACAATTTTAATACACAAATTTTGATCGAAAAATATCTAATGATAAAAAAGCACATGATACAAAAAAGTTAATTTAAAAGAAAGTTTTTACATAGATCCTTCTCGAAGAAAAATCTCTATATTAATAAAAATTTATATTTTAAATAAATCGTAATAATTTATGAAAAACAATGAAATTAGATATACAATAAGATACTAGGTATACAAAAGGTATACAAAACATACAAGTAAAAAATGTATACCTGAATATCGTGTCATTTTTTTGTTTTTCTTGAGTTTCGGCCAACTCTAAAGCAGCTTGAAGGGCTCTACTTTCTTCGTGAAGAGTCAGCAGTTCGAGTTCCTCGCGGCCTAATCTGTATTCCAATTCTGCTTGCTGTATGCGAACGTCAATATTGCTGAAACAAACGCAATTGAGTGTTACTTAAAGTTAATATTAAACATTATAAAAACTGACGAAGGGATAAAATATTATTTCAACAATTGCAATAACATGCATTTTTTAATTTTGCAATTTGACAAGCAGTTCAGTTTTTCTTTTTACGCTATTCTATAGACTCTAAATGTAAATTCCTCTGTACTGCCGTGTTTATGGCAGACGTTCGCGGATCGCGGCGTGGTATCGGTAATCGCGATTTACGATAACGCGATCGAATAAGCCCGCGGCGATCTCTTCGTACTCACTCCGTGATATCGAGACGCTCGAGCGCGAGCTTCAGGTTCTTAATAGCCAGGCGCTTATTGTCGGCGTCCCGTCGTAGCCTTTGAAGCCGCTCCTCAGCCGCTTTCCTGTCGGCCTCGGTCAAGGGTGGCGCGCCGTTACGTAATGCCAGTCTGCTGCTCAGCGTGTTGCAAAGCTGGCCCTTGAGCCTGAAAAAATAACGAGGGGCACGAATGCCATGACCGGGAAGAAAACACCTTCGCTACCTGCGCCTTGAAGACGCATGCCCCGAATTTACTTCCCTTTCGTTTTATAAATATCCGCGATTATCGCCTTTCAGAAAAAAAATAACGTTACATCTGTCTTGTTGTATAAAATGCGTAAAATACCTCGCTTGTTATTACGTTTCAATAAGAGTGTGAAATTTTAAAAAAAGCATTGCTAATTTTATTCATATTTCGATTTTCTTCTTCTATTTTGTAGCCATGCCATGCCATGCATTTATGATTAAGCATTTATGAAAGACACAAACTTTTTGCATCGTACGATTTTGCATCGATTTAATATAAGGTGAAGTCGCAGTCAAATTTATGTGCACGGTATATCTGGGTAGGTTCGCTCATTTTCTTTCGCTCATTTGTTATTTCCTGGCGCACGATCATTATAATAAAGGAATGGGACGTGATCAATTGCTCTTCGCCGGCCGTATATCTCAAGGATGTAATCAAGCAATTACTTACGTCTGTATGATGTTTTCTTTGTCGCGCAAGGCAACTCGGAGAGCGTCCAATTCCTTATAATGATCTCTGTTTCGGTGACCAGCGGGAGAAGGAATGCTCCCGGATATACTGCCACCTTTCTTCCGTCTTGGTGTCGTCGACAACGACACTTCTATACTGGCCATCTGCAACATATATAATTAAGATATATAATTAAAAGTTTATGAAAGACACAATTATTTTTCTTTAACTGCAAGGTTCGATCCAATCCATTTAATACTTTTATATTGCCCTTGGTGTTAAAGACAACATATATACATTTATACGCTTAATTATAGTATTAATATTTATACGTTTAATATTTATACATTTGAATTTAAATCCATACGTTTCAAAATACATTTAACATTCAATATTAAATTAAATTGCGTTTATATTAAATTAAATTGCTTGTCTTGTGTATTCCGATATAAACTTAATTAAACATATATTATTAGTTTATTTTCTTATATTATTATAAAATTGTATTATAAATTTATGATTATTAAATTATTGTCATAATCAAACATATATATACACATAAACATTCATTTTCCCTTAATATTTAAATGTTTAATTAATAACGTCTATATGTTGTTAATAAAATTATTAGTAACTTTTATATGATTTATATGATTTTATGACTTAATGATCATATACGCACATTGTGCACAACTTCAATTTTTATAAAATACGAGAAAATTATGAAATGCGGCGTAATACCTAGCAAAGAACTAATAAATCTCAATTAGTCTATATATTTTACGTCGACTTCAATTTTTCTTTGCTTTCTCCTCTTAATGATTTTACATTTTAAATTATAAATATACACAGTAACGTGTAAAAACCATATGGTTAAATATATAATTTTTTATCTTTATTGACAACAGCTATTTAGTAAAGTCCATACTTGATTCCAGATATTTATATCTAGTTTGGAATATCGATTAAAACAATACTCTTGCATCGAGATGAAATATGTATTCATTATATCGTACATAGAAACGTTATAGAACTAATGGACCTTGACGAGTTTAGACATATCCCAGGATTGCGGGTTTAACTACTTTTCTGAAGCGACTATCATCTTCTTGATATAATGGATACATTATATACAGTCGATTTTCTCACATGTGCGAACAAGCAAAGCAATTTACCTAACGACGAAGGGCACAGGTCCCACAGGACGACGTCGCGAATAATTTCTCGGACATGAATATTTATAAACGATCGTGTGCTTGTGGAAAATTATAATCCCGCCGTTACCGTGTATCGTAACCCGTTGTTATCCGCTGCGAGTATTTATAAAAAACTGCGAGCCGTGATAAGTTATAAGCTTTTATTGCGACGCGATTCAAATAATTTCTACACCAAGTATATTATTATCAGTCTTTTGTGATCACAAGATAAAAGATGCTTATTCATAAAAATATTATGAATAAATAAATTTTAAATAAACACAAATGTAAATTAAATATGTTAATCACAAATTGAGGATATTAACAATTTTTTTCATAATTAATATAAAATATATTAATATATTTTAATAATAACATAAAAAAAAACACTCTCTTATAATCATAAATCATACCAGAGGTTAATAAATGAATAATTTTCTCGATCTCTTCAATGTTTTGCGATCGTATAATTTCGAGGATCGCAACTCTTAACGAAATTTTAATATAACACAAATTATGTAAGAATTATTCATTCAGAGTAAAGAAGAAAGTAAAATGTCGACGAACTCTAGCTAGCTTCTCTTGGTCTGCTCCATTCGACAGCGTCCGCGGTGGAGGAACCATGCCGGCGAGGAACGCGGCGCAACTATCAATTATTCGGATTCCGAGGTGCGCGCACCATCCTCGTCGCGTCCACCTTCCCCTCGGAGCTACCCCCCTTTCGCTCCCCTTTTTCTGAGTGTTCGTGATGAGCGCGGATACCGGCCTGCCCGAGAGGTGAGAGCGACGGACCTTGCGGGGGAGGATTGCGCCGCGCATACGCGGCATGAATACGAATTTATCGTTCCATTAAACCTATGATTTGCGACGGTCGGGACGGGATGTCTCGGCCTTAATGGGCTTTCACCGTCGGTACTGCGCAACGGCGATCTCCACGATGGTCCTTGAGGAGACGGCACATACGGGTTCCCTCCCCGCTGGCCGTCACGGGAAGGTCAATGCCGGCCCCCGTAGACCGACGTGTACCAAGACGAGGAGACGATATGAGGCCTCTCTTGCGAGCGCGCTGCTGAGAGCGGACCACCAGCCAAGCCTAGCATGTGAAGAGAATCGACTACGAAATCGGATGTTTGTCTCCCCGCGGTCAAAGACTTCGCTCACGATTCGCCTTCTTACGCTTGCGTTTCTCTCTATGCAATTTGCGAACGGTTAATGTGTAATTTAAGAGAGGCAATGAACATCTGAAACGTACGCCGATTTCTCGACTTGCGTGACAGCCTTTATTTCTGTCCGCAAGAATAACCGTGGTTGCGATATTAGGAGATTATTTTTTTTTTTTTTCGAAACGTGTTACTTTTTTCTGACTCTTGTATTCGTTCAATTCGCACTTGCTCGAAATATTTTACGCTTTACGTAAGAGAGAGGGTTTCCTCGAGCGAGCACGTTTACTATCGGACACGTCAGAACGTCCATTAACGATTGAGTTTACGGTACACGGAAAGCCTCGGTCAATCGCTACGAGCCGACCTCTCGTGTCACGCGCGTCAAAAGGGAAAGAGAAAAACTCGCGGAGATCATTGAACTTTGAACCGCGATGAGTTCTGCAAGTCGTGGCGACGGCGGCCGGACGTTCCCGCGGGAATAGGTGCATCCGGTCCATCGTCGGTCGTTTCCAAGATGCCCGATTGGTGGTCCGTTGTCTCGTTTGAGACACACCGTGCTCACGATATTCTCATATCGCATCTGCCTCTATCGCGAGAGCACACACACACACACACACACACACACACACACACACACACGTGCGCGCGCGCGTCGACGGA